ATTTGTGTTGGTTGCTCTGGATGCGGAATAGTATTATGTAAGCCTTGAGATACGCGGCATCGAGATCTACTTGGAAATCTGCTCGCCAAATGGCCGGTGCGCTTGACGAAATTCAATTTATCCTGCCAGTCTAGTAAACCAAATGTTGCTCTCCAAAAATTGACAATGACGGCTTAAACGATAACAATCCTCCCAAGTAGGCAACACCTCGTTTTCTTGAAACCGATCATACGATAATTTCGAATCTGCATCAATCTATACTAATATTTTAAAGAGGTTAAATTTGTTTGTTTGTTTGTTTGCAACGAATAGGCTCCGGAACTACTGGTCCAATTTAAAAAATTCTTTCACCGATAGAAAGCTACATTATCGTGAAGTAAAATAGGCTATAATTTATTTTGAAAAAAATTAGGGATCCGTAAGAAAATTGCAATATTGTCGCATATAAAGTGAGTTGCTACATCACTGACAAACACACTACCATAGCATTTTAACTCAATTTTTGTGGTTTTCATTTATCATTTCCAAGTGAATTAAGTTTTATCACATATTATGCAAACCTTAGTGTTCTCTGCTCAGTTAATTTCATGGACAAACGGGTATTGTGTTCACTGTGAAATTGTGAAAAAAAGAATTTTTATTCAATTTAAGTTGAACTGTGAAAATTATGTGGATCGTGCATTTGAGGACAAATTCACCACTCTGTCCATAGTCCAAAATGCTTAGAGGACGACGTGCAAACATTGGCCGCAGACATCCAAGCCAGCAACAAGTATATTCACAAAACTTAAGCGAAGAACGACAAATGAGCAAATGGAGATTATTGGCATCATTCATCCCACTGCGAACTACTGTGATAATGAAAGACATTGGACCAATGGCGACTATATACCGATATTGCAGTGCGTTAAAGTTTAAAAAGAGAAACGGCTGGATTGTGCTGCGCAAGTGGAAAAGTCAAACTGGAAAAGTGTTAAATCACCATCTGTCTATACTTCCATATATTTGAAAAATATTGCAACATTGACTTTTATGTTGTTAAATTGTGTTGACCAGCGAAGCGAACACAGCACCTCTAGTTTAAAATAAAACAAGATGAATTAGTATTGCGTTCATAACATCTGCTTCCGTTCCTAACGACAACAATGATTCACGCAACGCGGAGACGGTATCCAAGATACAACGAAGACCTGCGGAATCAGATCTTTTCATACTTTGAATATCGAATAAACTAGAAATGTGCTCTATGAAAATCAAAACCTTTTTATCGTAGCGCTCCTTTATCTGCTTGAACGCCTTTGGATAATTGATTTCGGACACTTGAAAGGGGCCACGACACTCAGCGCGGCGCCAGACAAACAGCTAAGCAAGTAGTTAAATTTGTCAACAGCTGATATTGAAGCGTCATCATGTACATGCTAGTGAAGGCAGTAATAAACTTCATGTAGTCACCATACTTCCCATCGAACTTAGGCAGCTTTAACGAAGGCAAACGATTATGGTATTTACCTATCATGTGACATTTTCATTATCAATTTCATGAATATCATTTCCTAATGTCGTGATAATTGGGTTATGGTAACCAAAGTGCGAGACATATACATGAGCACTCAAATTCTTAATGAATCGTGCAAAAACTGCATCGATTGTTGTCCCGTGTCTAGTCGTGCTTATGTTCCTATCATTAACAATATCCAAATTGAGGGTGTTTTTGAAAAAGTTCAAAATCTTTACAGATTCTTCCCTCGCGATATTCAATAATCATAGGAATTTCGTGTTATTTCTTATACAATAACCTCGAACCATCCTCTGTGTATGGCAGAAGCACGTGTTGGATAAAATCTTTGATATCAGTAATCGATTTACCTGGTGAGATATACTTCTAAAATGACACCATAATAATTTTTTTCCCATTAGCCAGCCAGAGAGCATTCTGCAGCACACAAATTCCCAACGGAGGATGTATGACTAGAAACGAATTCATGGTTACGGGCATGAATTTCATTATATTTTACCACAACATGTTGGAGTCTATTTACATTTTGATATATACCTACACCGACCGCTCTAACATTGGGTCTCTTGTATTGTACAATGTAATCAAAATTTGTAACATTAACATGCCTGTCATCGTCAAGCTAAGTTTCGGAAAGCATCAATATGTCCGAATTTTTTAGAACATTACCTCGTAAATCTGATGCATGTTTGTTAATACTTTGACGATATTTTCATTCATATCGTCATATCTCCTTTTTCAATATATTCTAACAGTACTTGATCGAGAGTTTTTAACCGTACCGTAGGAAGTCTGTCATATTCTCTTCTCAATTGAGCTACTGAGGTGTCTTCGCGTCGTCCGTGATGAAATAAAAATGGATAAGAATTATCGTGCCAATCAAAAATAGGTAATTCATACTTAAGCTGTAATAAGCTAATACATCAATTAAACTGTTAATATCTGCATGAAACCTGTTCAATTAGAATTTATTTTGATACTCACAGCTCTCACCCTTTTTTCTACTGCTGTAACTGATCTCGTTTTGGCAGAGAAATGATTTCGGCTTAAAAATGGTCTTCTTTCTCAACCCAGCAAGCAAAGTTAGGAGTCCTCTAAATTATGTGTCCGAAAAGAGCCGATTTTAAGAGTGTTTTCTGAGTAGGCACATAAATAAGACCATTTTCTGAGCAAATTTGGGGGTTGCTCCACATAGGCTCAAAAAGAGCTCTTACGTGTGAGCAAATTCGGAGCTGCGGTAAAACGTCGCGTGCAGATCACTTATCGCAAAATGTTATAAAATTGACAATTTTATTTAGTTTGAACATTGAAGAAGTGTAAGTTGGACGTGTTAAAAAAAGTGTAACAAAATGTTTAAAATTTAGTAAAAGAAAGTGCTTCAACTGACGTTTAGAATTTAAAGCAAAAATGAGTGTCCAGAGATCAAGCCGGTCTGTATACTTTTTGAAAAAAATAAAAAGCAAATATAAAATCTGAATTTTATTGATTAAATTTTACCAAAAAAATTTTTCAATTAAGTGTCCGAAATTAACCTTTTTCGTGGCGATTTAAGTGCCTAAAAATGATACTTTTATTAGCATTTTCTGTGCGTTTTGGGAAAGTTTCAGCAAGAAAGCTTTAAAACTGAGAGACTAGTTTGCGCAGAAACGGACAGGAGGACAGACGTATTTCGATTTAGATGGTGATGGTGATGGTGATAAAGAATATATATATGTCGGAAATAAATTCGAGGAAGCACAGAATTAATGCTAAAGGCATAGCAGCAGGGTCGGTTGCAGCCTCTGCTAGTAAGTAATGGGAGGAAATTCATGAGAAAGGCATAGCTGCAGAGACGGTGGCAGTCTCTGCTGGCGAGTTGTCGGGTTGAAATTCGGGGAAGTACAAGAATTTATGCGTAAAGCATATCAGTAGAGACGCTGGCGGTCTCTGCTGATGAGTGAAGTCCGTTGACGGTTTACCTAAAGTCCTGAGATTGAAAGAGATGACAATATATGTAGTCTGACAATATATAAGACGAGGATCGATAAGATCGAATCAATCTAGTTTTGGTAACGAAAGTGAGCGGAACTCGCTGTGCTGGCGCAACAAATAATAAAAGTTTAGTGAAAATGGAAGAAAGAACCTTGTTTCCGACATATACTTTATGGGGTCTGAGGTGTCCCCTTCACTGAGTTGCAAACTTCTGGCCAAAATTAAAGTACCCTTTGCTTTGCAAGGGTATAAAAATGACACAGAGTTGGTTTTGATCATATCGATTTGATTTCTTTCAGATGGTGTTTTTTAACTACCGATAACTATATCATATAGCTGCTGAAAGATCAAAAAATATATGTAGAAATAGTGGATAAATGATAACGTCATTCTTTTTATCCTTGTTTCAAGGAAAAAAGTTTATAGCTGCCATACGAAGGATCGAAAATTCTATATATAATATAATAGAACTAGAGTCTTGTGACCGTTTTGCTGGTCAACACAATTGAACAACATTAACTATTATTTGGCTAAATTTTTCAAATACACTTTTCCACTTACGCAGCACAAACCAGCCGTTTCTCTTTCGAACTTTAACGCGTTGCAATATCGGCATATAGTCGTCATTGGTTTAATATCAAAATTTTCATTATCACTGTAGCTCGCATTGGGATCATATTGGAATGCCAAGCGATTGTGTGTTGCTCGATCGGGCCTTTTCTATTGTTATATTTTGCCTATCTTCGTTTAAGTTCTGTGAATACACTTGTTGCTGGCTTGCATGTCCTCTAGGCATTTTGGACTATGGACAAGAGTGATGAATTTAACCTCAAATGTACCACCTTAAAGACAAATGCCTTTGGCATTATGCCTACTGTTGAAATTGAATAAAAATTCTATTTTTTTTATAATTTCTCAGTGAAATTTTTTTCTACATGAAATTTACTAAGCAGAGAACACTAAGGTTTGCATAATTCACTTTGAAATGATAAATGAAGACCAAAACAAAAATTGAGTGAAAAGGCTATGGTGATGAGAGGTACTCTTTTTATATGAGATTTTGGTATGTGTGCAAACGCATATGTGAAATTTATGATAGATTATGATAAGTTATCAGAAAGGAAATATCATTTGACCAAGAGCCCAAAGAGATTTAGACCTTTCGAAATTTGTTGGTAAACTTTGAAGTCTGTGAATCATGGAAAAATTATGACAGCTAAACTAGTCGTTAAATTTCAGCCACTACTACTTATGTACTAAGAACTTTCTATTTTGCTAAAAGACTTTTAAAATCGTTTTAAAAGTAAAATAAAAGTTAGACATGTCTATATTGATTGCTTGGAATGCTCATCAATATTATACATATTTACTGAATATAGATATTATACCACATTTTTGATGGTATTTTTCAGTAAACAGCTAAAAATAAATTGTTAAAATAAGAGCTTATTTAATTATCACTTTAAAAAAAGTTTATTTTAATAGCCCTGCACCAAAGTAATTTTTTCCGTACCGTTTTGTTGCCAAGATTTTTTATACGACAATTTAAATGTCCTGTTTTTCCAACCAACGATGTCACATTTTTGGTCGCAGAAGTGTCAAAATAGGGGCCCCGGTTTAGGGCTCTACTCATTTGTACAATATACTCGTCAGTTACAAGATATTGTTCTGCCATCGTTACTTTATCTTCAAAGGTTGCCCTTAAAATTACTGAGACGGTATTAGATTTATGTTATTGTATTTATTTACATATACTCACAAATACAAATAAGTACTCGAAATGTCAAAAAAGCATTCATTTTTAAAACATATATTTTTGGAACATTATACAATAACCGGCACCAAATGTTTGTACGAAGATGAGTGTTATTAGTTATTAAATTACGCATGCGCGAAGCGCATGCGCAATTTGATATTAACAGAAGTACATCTTTTAGCTCTGACTAGTTCTTACTTTACAATAAATAATACTGTACAGCTTCAAACAAGTAAAATATTGGAGAGCACAAACATAATGCTTTAATGCTGTCCCCAAGTTTGCAAATAATAAATTAAATTTATTACCACCTTAAAAAACCCTACAAGCCTCCAGAAGATTTGATAACTTTGTTCGGAGATGTTCTATATTTCAGCAATTAATTACTTGTAATGCGTTAAAACGTAACTATTCTGAAAAGGCCAATAAATTTTTATTTTTTATAACTTTTAAATTAACAAAAAAAATACGTAAACCATTGCTTTAATTTGCCATTTACTGTCATCGTAGTAATACTACTAAACTCACTGCAGCCCAGCTGTTTTATAAAAAGTTGCATCACTTACAGTTTTCATGATGTGAAGTTCTAAAAAATGAAGTAAAACGTAAGCAAAGGATAAAGCTGTAACTAGTTTGTTTACAACAGCTAGTTTTGTAAGTTCACCTCAGCTGTGCTCCACGATTTTTTGCAATTTTCAAATATCTCTTACGCGGGCAATTTAAACGGGAATTTCCGGATACTTTATTGTCATAAGGTATATGGGGACTAACTTTTCTTTCTATTAGCGAAAGAATAACCCACAAAATGTAACAAACGATCTGCCTGGAAACAGCCAGGGTCATGTACATCAAGTTAGCAGTACAACTTTTTATATATAAATTTTTTTCCTTCTCATAATTTGCCGTTAATTATCCGTAAATTATTTGTGAAATAAAAACATTTGCCGCTTAATAATACCCTCTCAGAGCAAAAGGGTATTATAATTTCAGTCAGAAGTTTGCAACGCAGTGAAGGAGACACCTCAGACCCCATAAAGTATATATATTCTTGATCAGCATCACGAGCAGAATCGGAATACGTCTGTACGTCTGTCCGTCTGTCCATCTGTCCGTCTGTCCGTTTCCGCGCAAAGTTTTAAAGCTATCTTGCTGAAACTTTCCCAAAAGGTGTGTAGTTATTGCACGCAGTATATAAGTCGGATCGGCTGACTATATCGGATAGCTCCCATACGAGAGAATGAAATAAAAAATGCTCACGCCGTTGTTTTTAATCAGATCGACTTGATTTCTTCTAGATGGCGTTTTCTAACCACTATTGAATTTCGGATTAGTTTGATCAAAATCGGATAACTCTATCATATAGCTGCCATGGGAGAGTTCGAAAAATATATATAGAATTAATGGAAACAAATTGATAACATCGTTGTTTTTTATCCCACGAGCATGATTTTTTGAATATCGAGTTTTTTAACAACGTTTATATTGAGAAAAAAGTTTCATAAAAATCGGACAACTATATCTTATAGCTGCCATAGAAAAGATTGAAAAACCTATATAGAAATAACGGAAATAAAATTATAACATCGTTGTTTTTCATCAGACAAGTATGATTTTTGGAATATAGAGTTTTCTTACGACTCTTGAATTATGAATTAAATTTGATCAAAATCGGACAACTATATCATATAGCTCCCATATGATCTATAGTCGAAAATATGGAAAATGAATAGAAAAATCGTCTTAGCTTTGATGTTGTTTAACCTTTATGCATTTTGTTCGACATATTTGATGACTGCAAGGGTATAAAAGCTTCGGCATGCCGAAGCTAGCTTTCTTTCTTGTTTTTTTTTTTTTTTAATTATTGGGTGTTCTGCTTAGCTGATATCAAGTTAGCAAGACAACCCACTAATATTAAACTTTTTAAACTTTTTTTTTACAAGAAGTTGCCGTTAATTATCCGTAAATTATTCGTGAAAGAATCAAATTTGCCGCTCAATTTTCAGATTTTTTAGGACGTTTCCACTATTCTTTCGGCTTTGAATTTACCGAATTTTATTTATCCGTAAATTATTATTATCCAATACAGTGACCGGATATACATAGGCGTCTCGGGAGCGTGAAGCGGTGCGCAATACTCCCGGAAACTATTTGTTGTGTTGTTTTGTGGCGCCTACAAACGCCTTGCAGTAGCCGATGTTAAGATTTTTTTTTAATCTGTGATTACAATTTTGTTTTTGCCAAAATAATTATTCAAAGATGTTTTTTTATTCATTGAGTTCGTGAGTTAATTTAAGGGGCACAACTAGTGTGACGGCCTAAAAAAAGGGTGATTTTAGGGAATTTTTATAAAAAAAAAACTACTTAATCAATTATTTCCAAATTTTCAGAATATATTTATACATGTTTTAAGAACATACAGTGAAATTTTTAAAGAAAAAAATTAAATATTTTTTTAGTTAGAGTCGATCTACAACGGCGCTAAAAAAAAGTGCCTTAACTACTGCAGTGATTAAGGCCCTTTCCGTGGATGAAATCAAAAAATGAAAAATTATCGTTAAACTAGATGATATTATCTATACCATGAACTACAATAAAATAAAAATATCAAAAATTGACAAAATGGGGGCGTTTAAAAAAAAAATACGGTACGGAGAACTATATATAGAACATATAAAAAAAAATTGATAGTGATCGGATCGTTAGTTTTTGAGTAATCACTGCAGAAAATTCGGAAAATGCTATTTCGAGAAAAACGCGTTTAAAGATAAAATGATCGTTTGCACCGTATGAGACCGGCTGCTCTTTAAATTGTTATAATTCAAAAACTATTGAGATATCGATTTTAAATTATAATATGTTATTTTTAAATCTACCGAAATATGAAAAAAAATTTTTTGATTTTTTTTAAAACTTTACACTAGTTGTGCCCCTTAAGCGTGCTTGAAATTTGACAATTAATTTTATTGCAAAAAAAGAGCATAGGCCAAAGAAACGCTTGATATTGTTATTCCTTAATTCGCGATACCGAAGTAAAGAAAACCTCTACAAAGAGCAACCCGAGGCAAAATGAATGTCGCTCTTATCGGCCTTGAAGACAGCAAGCGATCCCAAAATTTCCGGATCAGCTTTGTTATGTGCGGCGAACAAGAAAATTAAAGCAAAAAAAATGTAAACAATAGATATTTACCAACTGCCCGCCGACTGCCAGTTATCGATTGTGCGTGAGTAAAGGTAGTGTTTGAAATGACTAAGCCCCAGGAACTGGTTCCTTAGACCGGGTAACTCCAAAATGAACCGAAATTTAAGTCAGAAGATTTTGACTGATTTTTGGAGAAGAGAGAGGATTAGAAAAAAAACCACAAGGAAAATTAAAGGGCAAGAATCAGTGGTTAAAGACAGTTCGGCTAGAAAAAAAATTTCTCAAAAAATTTCAGATCCAAATTTGAAATATAACAAAAGTTACAGGCCCTTACACGGAGCACATGTCAAGCACCGGCCACTGGAAGCCAAAACTTTGAACGCGTTTATCTCGAAACCAAGTTTTCTGACCTTACGGAAGTAATTGAAGGCGTTGGGGTTAACCAATCGTCATAAATTTTTCTTTTAAATGTTCCTAATTGTTTCCTTTATCTAATGAACTAGGATTATCTAAAAATATTGAAAACTTTTTAATTGAGAAAATAATTAGTGAGAAAAAAAGCACGAAAATTTAAATTTTTTTTCAAAAGCTAATAACTGTTGCAATTTTCATTTTTTTTTCTGATCCTAGTTCATTTTATGCACAGTACTGTACACTTTAAGAATCTTTTCGGTTTTTGTGTTTCCGATTACCCGTTTTGGCTGAATCACTTCCGTAAGCGGGACACCTTTTTGCCGAAATGTTGCAACTGAGAAACGCCCCCTCCCGCCCCTTTTTTGATTTTTCAATTTTGAAATTTTTTTCGCAAAATAAATATGTTTTCAAATAAAGTTATAAATTTCAGATTTTTATCTTTAACCGTTTTCTCAAAATAATTTTTTTTTAAAATGTCTATTTTTCGGCCCTACAAGGTGAGAACCTGCCTTAAATAAAAATTCAAAATTCTACCTTGTATTCCGGAGTGAATAATACGGGAGAGAAACAAAAATTTTCTGGAGGAAGGAAGAAGCCCAGCCACCCGGAAGAGACGACTTTTCGCACAGAAAATTGGCCACTCATTCCTGGATGTCCACAGGTTTTTATTTCAACCTCTATATCTTCACTTTTGCCGACCAAAAATCCAAATAATTGCATGGCTTACCCTGGGATGCACTCAATGGGAGGAACTCCCAGGACTACAACTCCAGCCGCGTAGTCCAGTCCAAATGTTCAAAATTCCGTTGTGTATAAGTGTCCAAGTTTAAAAAATTCCGTTTTTTTTTTTTTTGTTGTGTCTGCTGCGTGGAAATAATTGTGGTTGTGGACAGGTCTTTGGTCTGTGGTGTTCTCCCAGCAGGCTTGCCTCATATGTACATACCTCTTCCTTTCTTAGGTTATCTTTGATTGTGTGTCTGCCTATGCCACAATAAGGCTCGGGTCCTATAAGGGGTCGTTTCGCCCCTAGTTTTGCCAGCCTGTCAGTTACTTCATTCCCGGATATGTTTTTATGCCCTGGAATCCATCTTAGTGACAGCCTGTTGTTGCTGCCCAGAAGGTTTAACTTTGTTCTTACTTCTCGAACCAGCTTGGAGGTGATTATATTACTACAGAGTGCAGTAATAGCCGCTCGACTGTCCAAGAGGATCGCAATGTCCTTGTTTATGTACCCGCGCTTCCTATCGACCTTCGCACAACGTCCTATGGTACATACCTCAGCTTGGAATGGAATTGGCCTAAAGATTCATGGTATTTGATTCGTGGTCCTATCCCTCCCAGGCCAATGCCCACGCTATGGTGTGACTTGCCATGGAGTGTACTTCCTTCATGGCGGTCTATTATTTCTTGTTGCTCAAATGAGCAGAGCAATTTTTTTCGAAGATGAATTCTACTGTCATTTCGTCCCTGGGGTGTGAACTCGGTTCGACTATTAGTTTTGCTGCATCCCTAGAGCTGAGGATGCGGTCACTGCCAT